TTTAACAAGAGATGGATACATCCAACCAAAAAGCTGTCAACCCTTCAACCATGTCTCTGATAGTGAGCAGCTGTTTCTACCAAAGCTATGAGTGCAGGCCAAAAATGCTTTTACTCTTTGACCTGAGGACTTAAACTTTCCCCAGGGTTAGCTTGAAAATGCCAGTTAAGAGATAAACAAAATTTTAGGAATGACAGCTGAAAGTACTTAGTGTCCTGAGATTTAGATGTACCTCTGAGAAAGGGATGTATAATGTAGATGCACCTGCCCACAAATATGCCATATATATATATATATATATATACTGGATGCAATGGGCAAATTGTTGCCATTTTATATTTTTAATTTAGTGCATGCATATTTAATTTCGATTTTGTTGACTGCACAGTATAGTAGGATCAGTTGGACAATGTCTGTGAGGAAAAAAGCAACATGATACAGCAGAAATTTGGAAACGTCATAGTGAACTCTTTGGAATTTGTGCTAGAAACTCCAATTCAATTATTTCAGAGTGTTTGGGTGTTAATGTGAGGACAGTGCAGAGGATTTGTAACGATAATGTCTGATGGGAAAACATTGGACAATTTATATTCAAATTATTTCTGAAAATGATAAAAATTTACTTAATTGAAAAAACAAAACAATAAAAACATAAATCATGGGCTCTTATTAGTCTCTCTTTTTCTCCCTGTATTCGATCCCAATTATATATATATATATATATATATATATATATATATATATATATATATATATATATATATATATTCTGGTTATAATTGCTATGATATAGTAAATATATGAATGTCATAGAAATTAGCATGTGATGGTCTAATATAGGCATTAATAGACATTAATGTATATATATATATAATGATGGTAAAATATCATTTTAAGGAATGCTTTATTTGAATGTTGAGTAATGGAAATATGTAGATATTCATAGGTATGAGGGTTGCTGAAAAATTCTCAGCCTAACCAAAAAAAATCAAACAAAAATTATGATGTGGTCAGACTTGTGAGAATGTGTGTTTTTTATGTATGTATGTGTGTGTGTGTGTGTGTGTGTGTGTACAAATAATATAGATAATTCCATCTTGAGAAATTTATATATACCATTGTGCAAACTGATAGCTGCTCTATATACAAATTCAAAATACCTAAATGCCATGTCTATATATTTATTTACACACACATAATCTTAAAAACACACCCACTACACCTACACATATATTAAATGTCTGCATTTTCTTCATCATATATCTGTGAATCTATATATACACACTTATGTATGTTCCTTGGTTTTGCCTGAGATCACAATTAATCCTGTGATTGCTTGGTTGAACAATCTGATTCTGATATTGGCGCTGAAGCTATAAGGAACTTGTTTAAGCTGCAACCCATGCAGAAAGATTCATAATACCATTGCTTTAAACAGGGAGATGATGGCTGCATCTTCCATGCTACACCTGATTAATTTCTCTGATTGTTTTCTCCTAGAGAGCACTGTCTGTTACTGTTAATAGGAAAAATAACCAAGAAGTGAGTGATCCTAAAGCATTAGTCAAAGAATTGCAAGAATAAAAGGAACAAGAATAAAAAAAATACCAAGCCAATTAAATAACCATTAGAATAAAATCAGAAAAATGATTAAAATTAATCTTATGAAAATACAGATTTTAAGAAACTGCTTTTGATAGTTTATTTGGGGAAATCTGGATTAAAAAAAGAAAAGTGGGTAAAACTTTGCTTAGTTATTAAATGCTCCTGATGGTAACGGCTTGCAACTTGTAGATATATTGTTTTATCTAAACTAAAAAAAAAGTGTACATATTTTTACTTATGATAGCATAAAGAAAAAAAAAATTAAAATCATGATTGTATTATATGAGAGCTATATATCATTGACAGATCAGAGAAGTGTCATTGTCATTTCAAGAATTGCTCAGATTATTGAAATTATCTATTAACTTCTATGATTCTTGTATAGACTTTACTATATGACTCATAATAATAACAACTAAAATTCAATGTGTCTATATTAGACATCCACATACTAATTGCTATGACTTTCATGTAGATTTTACTATATATAGATCATAGTAATTATAACCAAAATTTAATCAAAGACTATAATAGACCTCCATGCACTAATTTCTATGAATTTCAGATAGACTATTTACATTGTTTGGACTATCATGTTCATCTTTGTTGCCATATTCATCACAATGTTTCAGCCGTTGTATGCTTCGTCTGGCCTTCTTCAGGTGGTTGGAATGTTGAACTGAACCCTATATTTCGCTCACTAGGGTAGACTGTTCTAGTTCCATGTGCCATGTCTAATGGATGTCAGTTATCAGTTATCTCCTGTTAATTCCCCTTTTCCACCGCCTTAACCAGGTATGGAACTCACACTCTTTGGGTCTTATCACTGGATCTAACTAATGCCTTTATCCACTGTTCCATGTGTCCTTGAGAAAATCTGAGTATGGATTTCTGGGACTTATAAACCAAGCTCAACATCTTTGCATTTAAACATCTTTGCTTGTAAATTGCCATCCACCAATGTAATTTGTTTTCTTCATAATGTACCAAGTTTTCACTCATGTTAAGGTTAATGTGACAAAGCATTTTTGTACATAAAAATAATCTTTCTGATAGTATTTAGTTTCTTCTTGAACCATGGCTCCATGTGTACCTTCAAAAACTCAATGTATATCTGGGTTGTCATGTTAACACTATCTGAAATACAGGATGCACCTGCAATCCCCTCCCAAAACATCATACCACCTCTGCTTTGTTGATATCTCAGTCTCTTGAGATAGTTTCCACAAGTAGCCACTTAACCCTTTCTACATTCATCTGGTCTATTGAATGCATTTGTTAGTGAAAATAATGGTTGAAAAATAAATATATTTTGTTATCCATTTTATTCAATTTTACTTACAGATGACTTTTGAACAATACCTAATGATTGATCTCAGATATTTCCTTACTTAATTAAGAACTTAACATCTTGTGTTTTTTAGACTTCCTTGCTGCCACAATGCATACAGATTTCATAACATTTCAAAGCTGAATCTTTTATCATATTTCTTTTCATACAGATCACAGATTTGGTAAAATCCTGAACTTGTCTTTATCAAATATGCATTGATTTGTATAGAATCTTCCATTAGTTTTTTCTTACTTTCAGTTACCATCATTTTATATTTTTCAGGTTCTGAATTTATTAACCCTTTTTCATTATTCATCAAATCAGCAATAAAGTCTATTTTAAAGCTTCAAATCTGCAACATGACTTGAGATTTCAAAATTTAGGACATTTCATATGAATGACTGCAGTTTGTTTACATGTCTGCAGAACAAACCAGCTTTCATCCTAACTGCACAGATAAATGTTGCTATCATTTAGCAAATAAACATTTATATTCCAATCATCATCATCATCAGTACCATGGTTGTAAAGTTACCACACAACTGAGTACCTGATCATCTCCCTTCATATGTCTTGCAAAGGTCAGAGCCTCTATGAAGGATCTTCCACTCTCCTCATTGACATTGTCAGACCATTGTTTTCCTTTGTCTGCTTCTTTTTCTTTTACCTAAGACAGTTCCTTGTATGATGTCAGTGGAAAGATCATTGGTGCTTATGATCTGGCCATATTATTTCATCTTGACAGTGGATATGAAGTCTTCCAATGGGCCTATTTCTTGCCTGATGGTACCTCACACAGTGTCATTTGTGGTGTGGTCTGCACAAGAGCTGCCTAGAATGGTTCTGTAGCATCTCATTTCTAATGCTTAGACTTTTTATTGTAATTCTATTGTTAATGCCCAAGATCCACAAAAAGATTGAGAAAACCAATGCACATAACAGTCTGATGTTTGATTTCAGGTAGATGTACTTATCTTTTCAACTGGTTTTTATTTTTTTAATACCAACCCTTGTTTGTGTTGGGCTTTAAATTATTTCTATCTGAGTGATATTCATCCATGTGTAGCATGTCTTGGGTAAAATAAACCATCCCTTTCTAGGTCAATATATTTTATATATTATTTTATATATAATGAAATCAGTGAATGAATCTCTATCGATTAAAAAATATGTGATAATTGTCAGGACACTAGTTTGTCAAACATTCATTGAAGGTTTCCCACAAATGAGAAGAATTTGAAGTGCTACCAAAACCAATATGTCAGAATATTGGTGGTCTGGCTTAGTTATGTGTCTTTTGAGTGACCTGGAATCAGAAGATATAGTGGCCAAAGGGAATCAAAATTCTTAAGCTGTGGATTAAAAATGGCAAGACAGATTAGAGATAGAGCTAATGAAATGGCAAATGTCCAAATTGAGAAAAGCCTTTGCATCGTCACTTTAGGTCCTCTTAAGCTCTTATTAAATCATTAATATTTGCCTGTCACCCATAGTCAAGTGGTTGACCAAAAGTCATGAAACTGGAATGGGGGTGGGTATAAAGCAAAAGATGTGTGTGTCTTTCTAAATATGCACATGTTTATGTGATTAAGATGTTTTTACAATGATTATTATTATGTATTTAATATATTTAAGCTCACTTGTCTCAATGCATTTGTCTCCAAGGAGTGTTTATTTTACCTTTACTGACATTATCAGAATAAAAGCAATCTTTTTTGGTGAGTCAAATTATGGGTGATTCAGAAAAATAGAGTATTAGAATAGATTTAAAGTTTATAATATTCAATTATTTTGTCTTTAATTTCTTCATATAAAAATTTCTTTTCTTTCAATAATTTGAACTTTGGAGCATAATTTCTTTGTTTGGTTTTCAGGTTTTTTTATTCAAGTGAAAGACTAAAAAATGATGACAACCTTCATTAAGATGAAAAAATTGCAATTAGTTACATTAAGTTGTAATCACAAAATTTGGACAGTGTTTGACAAGAATAAAACAATACTTTTCCATTTTTTTATTAATATTATCTCTCAACCTTGGTCTGTTTATATCTGTCTATTTCAGTTTGTTCACATCTCTCTCTCGCTCTCTCTCTCTCTCTCTATCTATCTATCTATCTATCACATTCTATTATCTATCTCATTCTACTATCTATCTATCTATCTATCTATCTATCTATCTATATAAAATGCTTTTGCTAAGGTCATCATTAGAAATCTATTCATTATTTTGGTAAAGTGGGTTACACATTAAAGGATGTAAAAGTGCATCTTCAACATAGGCTTTTCGTTTTTCTTATAAAATAGAACAAAAATATCTCTACTAATAAATAAAAGGTAAAAATAATAATAAAGAGAAAATCTTTATTTATTCACACTTTATTAATTTAATAAAATAGATATACAATATACTGCAAAAAGAGCATGAGCACCATGTATTGAACTTGGATTATGTTTTTGCAGCTTATGGAAATTTGCAAGTTATTTAAAGCCAGAAAATGTTTTTTTTCAGATTGTAAGAACTTTTTGAAGATGATAAATGCTTTACTGATACCAAGTCTCATACTAATTAGCTCAAAGCTAGAGGAGAAGAGTTGAATTCATTCTTTTCCCAAGGGTATTTTCAAGTCAGTGAATATAATGCATTCAAATGTAATTGGAACTCAGCTCTCCAATTTCCAATTCAAAGCCGTTACACATTACACCACCTGCACATCAAAGCTTATGGCACCTGGTATTCCCAAGCATCCACCCAACTAGGTGCTGACCAGGCTCAACGTTTCTTAAACTGTGATTATATGGGAACCTGTGTTTCAATATGATATGGCCATAAGCCCCAGTGCACCATCTAGGAGTAAATATGATAATAAAATATGTAAATATTAGGCAAAGTGCTAAACTCAACTGAAAGAAAAATGTTTTTATCAGGATATATATAGATATTTACAAGGAGATTAATAGCTTTTTAATCTATGGGAGGAATGGAAAGAAAATAAATAGAAATAACTTCACACACGAGAAAGGACAAAGATTACATCGGTCAAAATATAGTGATAAAAATAGCAAGGATGAGAAGACTAGTCCAAATAACTGATGGGATAATGATAATGAATCATGTGAGAATTTCAGACAATACTAGGAAGGCCAAAGAACACATCAGCCCATATGTAGTGATCAAAATAGCAAGGATGTGAACACTAGTCCAAATAAATGATAGAACAATGATAAGGAATCATGTAAGAATTTCAAACAATACTAGGAAAGTAAAAGGGCACATCAGCCAAAATTTAGCGATAAAAACAGCAAGGTTGGGAAGACTTGCTGTAGTAACTGATGACTGAAGAATTTTAGATGCAATTTAACTCTCAATGATCATAAAAGAAGTTGTTATTTTATGTTAGAAAAACTTAAAACAGAACCAGCCATTTGGACTTGCATAATTCCAAGCTGAGTTCAAAGTCAATTTCAGTTTCACATAAGCTAAGAAAATATTACTTTCTGCTGGTTAGGAATCTGAACAATAAATTACAATTTCTGGTTGGTCAGCAGAATGAAGAAAAATAATTTGCTGGAAGCTCCATACAATTCAATTTTCTCTAAGTACTTTGACTGAAACCTATCAAAAACAATGCAACTTCCCAATTATGCAAAAGTTTACTGATATGCATACAAATGCTAAAATTATGCATATACCATCTATATATATATATATATATATATATATATATATATATATATATATATTATATGTATACGTAGGTGTGTGTATGTGGTTATACACATAGATGAATGCATATATATATATGTCTATGTTTAAACACATGCACAAACACACACTCAATCGCACACACACACACATATATATATTAATGTATACTTGGGCAGTGACCTTTCTTTTAAACATCTTTTGTTAAATATATGTATATTTCTTAGAAATATACAGACATCTTCATGACATGGATAATCATGGCCCTCCAAAACTTCCTATCTGTTCTGATCCTTTTCTAAGGCTCATAGCCCCTGTTTCACCTTTTATTCTCACAAGCTTATCAGGTAAGTGGCTTGTTGCTTTCCCCTCTTACACTCAATGTAACTCTTGTGAGGATTAGGTTTTCCAATCCCTCCTTCCTCATTATTTCCCAAGAAATTTCAACTGTCTCTCTTTCTGATTCAAAGTATAAGTGTTCCTTTTGTTGTTATTTACTTTAAGACTTCATCATTGCTTAGTCACTCTATCCATGAAATTCTCAGTATCCTTCTGTAGAACCAAATTTTTGTTGCCTCCCATCATCTGTGGGAAGATTGTCCAGCATTCACTTTTATGTAAGAGGATGGATATCAGATAACAGTTCAGTGCTTTTTTTCTTTCTAACAAAATCTTTCTATTACTCAACACTTTGTTTAGCTTTTGGGTTGCATCTTTCATTAGTTCAATGCATGTTTGTACTTTGGTGTTGCATTTTCCATCCTCTGTTAAAACACTTCTAAGATATTTAAACTTCTGCACTTGTTTAATATTGACATTTCCAATTTGTAACACACATCTTGGGATTTTTCTCTTGGTGGTAACCATACTTTCTGTCTTTTTACAGTTAATGTCTATTCCTTTTTTTCTCACTTTCCTTTATTATCCAGTCTAGGAGGTTCTGTAATTTTCTTTCTGTGTCAGCCATCAACACATTAAAACATCCCATAATGTTTGGAAAATGCTCAATGTCTATCCAATCAAAACAGCCCTTTACTTTACAATATAAATAGTACCACCATCTGATGCATACAGGTTATCAGACTTTAGAATAACCATCTGTGAAAAGTGGGTGGAATTGGCAAAATGCTAGTTAAGACAGTTTTCAACATCCTAATTCTCTAGATTACCACAGGCAGATTGTCATCAAGAAGCAAAGGCTGGGATGTCAAGATTTCGTGGTCATATGTTAGCTGGTAGATCATATTACTGTGGGCCCATTGGCCCTTTTCTCTAGTTGAGGTTAGTTAAAGCAATTATCCCAAAGACACCTTCAGGATAAAGAACAGTAATTTAAATCCATGGAAAGTGTCTGATTTGCAATTCTCTAAGGAGGGAATAAATATTTATGATTTGGCAAGGAAAATATCTTAACTGAAATCTGCAAGGAAAATATCTTAACTGAAATCTGTTTTCTTTGCAGTAAAATGCTAAGTAAAATATTTAATTAACTGAAGTGGCCTGAAATAACCAGGGCTTGTCTCAGGGCTGAACTACTTATATATTCCCTATTGATATTGTTTGAGCTCATGTAAAAGCCAGGATTTTAAATAAGGATTTTCAAAACAGTCAGGTATATATTTAAATTGGTGCAAGACAATCTTTCAGCACTATTTACCATATATGGCTTTGCCTTAAAACTTTACTAAATGTTCTTCACATGTCATTTTTCTTTTTTGGCACAAATTTGAGAGAAATCTCAAAAGTGTCAAATTTTTCTCAACTCTATTTAATTTGAAGGTGTCGGAATCAATTTAGATGAAGTACGCCCAGCAATTTCTCTGTAAGCAGGAGTAGTTGTTAGGCTTAAATATAATTAACCTGTAATTGTTATATATTTTATATAACATTTGATCTTTGATGCTTATTCTACTTCCTGTGCATAATTCTTATCCTGACTCTGATGAAAGACGACGGATAAAACAGTTTAGCTGCTTTTTTTGTTAATCACATTTTGATATTGCCAGTTTATTTCTTTTTTTATCTCTTCTTTGTTAATATTTCTTCCTGCTTTAACATGTCTGTTTTTATTGATTTAATATTTATTGCTAGTTCTATTTTTTAATTCATATCCTTCTGGTATCAGTTTAAACTGATACCTTTTCTCCATATATTTGGGACCATTTTGCTTAATGTTTGTATTTTTATTTTTCTTCAGAGAAAAAGCTGGAAAGTTTGCAATATATTTCAATTAAAATTTCCCTTTATAAAATTATACTTTAAATATATAAGAAGTAATGTACTGAATAGAGAGCTGATTTTTTTTAATTTATTATGTTTATTGTTCAGTGCTCTACTGTACTGTATAAAAATTCCAAACTAGATTAGAAATGTTACAAATGTTGTGAAAGTGACATTAAAATTATCTGAAGCTGGTTGGTATAAACCTGTAACAGAGTGTTAGAAATTACAGTAATTAGAATGCATAAAATGTACAATAAACAATAAAACTTGAGACATGTGTTGACATAAATAACAAGAATTTGTATTTTCTTTTTGTGATATGAATTACAGAATATCTATATGGTGTGTATAAAAATCTGATCAGTCTCTCTTGTTTAAAAGTCAGTGCTTACTTGGTTTGGTTCTGAGAATTTCATTTGTGAAGATGGTGTTTGAAATTGTCTGTTTTTAATCTTTATAGAGTGCTGGCTAGATGTGTTTTTCTGTACTGCAACTGTTACTTGTCTATTCATCTACTGACTACTGCTACGGGTACCCTAGTCTACTCTACTATACTCTATTGACTCTCTTGTGGTGGAAGGGTTGTTTTTATAATGATGAGGGTTAGGATGATGAAATATCCCTCGTTTCCATCATCTCTGGTGACAAGGTTATTTTTAAAATGATGAAATATCATCATTATTCTGGAACATAACAAACATGTGTGGAATGTCTGAAATAGCAGTCACTAACAACTTCTCATTTAGTGACCAGCATGTTTAGTAATCAGGTTGTTGAAACACAATCCATTTGTTAAGTGAGCGGTCGCTATAATGAAGATATATAGAAAACGATGGTGTCAGTTTAAACTTACATTGGGATTTATTAATAAATGCATTTAATTACTGACAGAGGAAAGTCAGTTCTTGATAAGACCTTCACTAGTGACGAAAAATGAATTTATTATCAATAATACGAAATTAAGAAACTTATGGGTAAATCTAGGACAGCATTCAACAAGTCAATTTGAGCAGAATATGCTGGGGGAGGGGATGTTTTCCACTGTTTTATTGTATTCAAAAGGGATTGATTAATATAATTGAGACAAATAGTTAATATGCAACAAAAGAGGCATTCAAAAATATCCTTTTCTGAGCAATGAAACCTAGTGGTAATTTTGCGCTTCAATTTAAATAAAACATATTCTATATGCTACAAATGCAATGCAGCAAGTGATTCTATCACTCCAATGAATTCTTCACTTCATCTAACATTGCTTG